CAAGAAGGACACAATAGTTAGTACAACTTTGATGTACACATCTGCATACATTTTGTTGTTTACGTAATCCTTTTACTACATCGACTTTTACTGGTGTGTAAACACAGGTGTAAGTAGATATGAAAACACATGACTGATAACATATATATGAGATAGATTGCTTTTACTGAACAACACACAACGCAACTATTTTGTCGTATTTACTTTACATTCAGGAAATATCGATTTACTTTTCAATTTCTACCAGAGAGTGCAACGAATGGCATTTGAGCCTTTGAGGCTTTTTCAAGCTTTTTTCTATAAACGAAATTTTAGCCAAATGTACAATGACACCCGAAGCCTTCTTAATGAAATCAATGTTCTCGAAAGCATAAATTTTTGGCATGTTAAAGTCATGAACTTGATTTAAATACATTTCAACATTTTTTATGAAATTTATAAAACACACATTACTTTATGGGTATAGATGGATGTTTAGAATAAACATTTTTAAATATTTTTATATAATTCCTTTAAACATTTCATCGATTTCTTATGTAAAATTTTGCTTAAAAGGTTTCTAAATATTTGAACATTGAATTTTTCAAGCGACAATGCACCTTAACTTCTTTATTCGCGTGTGCGGAACACACAGAAGAACTTGGAAGGGATCCACTTTTCTTATAAATCTAAACGACTTAGAACCATTTTTTGAAATGAGTTTAAATACCTTTACGCGTATCCATCAGTCTTATGTTTGACCACGATTGGCCCAGGTATTCCGCCTACAGGTCCACATATGTTCGAAATATTTCGATAAGAATTACACAAGCGAGTTATTCACAATAATAGTAATCGCGCAGAGCAGGTGAACCTGTAGTGCATTGGGCAAGCCTCATTCCGACAAAATCGCCTTCTTTTTCACGGTAACTCTTACGCCATTCAAGTGTAATTACAATAAAACGTTTGGCATAATCAAAAATGCGTTGGTTCGGAAGATTTTAGTATTTCTTAATAAATATCAGTAAAGATTATTTTTAAATACTAAATGAATGAGGAAAAGTTGGATTAGATAGAAAAGCATTTCTTTAACCTTCCCTCATGAAAACAATTTCTTAAAAAAATAAACCTTTGTATGCCAAGAAGGTCCATATTGTAACCCTTCATATGGAAGTATGTACAAAAGAATACTTCGAGACGTAAGTGTAGTACGATATGTTTGTACTACGTAGCTGTCTCCCTCCCTCTCTCTCTCTCCTCTCTCTCTCACTCTCTCTCTCTCTCTGTTAACATTACTTGAGTAAAGTGAGTTTATTTGAGATCCCGATCTTAACCTTTTCGCAACGAAACATTAGTACCGACCTTCGCGATGGCGCAACTGAACCCTACTTTGCCACCAATGTGCGTGCATTTAAAAAGCACCAGCCACTGTAAGACCATAAGTAACGGCCATATATGGACGGTACCAGCCGCTGTGAAACAGTAAGTAATTGCGTTGTAAGCGCGACGCCCGTTGTAAACGAACAAATGACTTCGACAGCTAAGAAAACAAGTAGTAAAGGAAGTATGTATGTAACATATATCAATACGATCATCTTTTTTACTTTTTCAGCTCCTATCGTTGCGCCACCTTACTCCACTCCTAACTAAAATGGGTATTAAACTATTCTCTTATAAAAACATCAAACTTTTTAATGAAATTTTTGTAACAACAAAGTAAAATAAGTTAGTCAAAGTAGAATATAAATTTAATTCGCCTCATAGTGCGAGAAGATCTGCATTGGGTCATAGTAACCATATCAGCCAAAACGCTTAAATAAGTCAATCTCTCTTTACATTAAACTAAGCGAAGGTCTTGTATTAGTAGGATAACGAAAGGAGCAAAGTAACACAACTAACGATTTTATAACTTTGCTACTCATACAAACACATATTATTGTAAGCGGAAAATAGTTTATAAAATAGAAAAGACATAAAACCAACTAAGAATTTACAGGCATTCAACAAAGTAAAATATTATTTCTCACTTTATAAACGCCATAGAAAAATACTGCGGAATAACTGCAAAGCAAAGGATAAAAAACTTTAAGAGCGAAACTCAACAACTTCATAGGATAATAGTATCAACCTTCATATTTCCTTTAAAGATCGGTCATATTTCCTGTAAATGTTCATCATTAGTATTCCTACAACATTATTAAGTGATTTGTAACCTGTGCATAGCTGCGTGTAAAAGATGGAAAACTTTAAGGGCAAACTTATGACTGCGATGCATACATATATTCATATATTTATACTAAATATGTTAACATGAAATCGTATTTTGCCCGTAGACAGCCTTAATACTACGTGCAGAAGATAGATATGTCTGAAGTTGTGTCTTTTTCAAAACTTGGACATGTTTCAACGATAAGCAGTCGTAATGGTACCACATATCGCAATGGACAAAATTATTTTTTCTAGCGCCAAAAAAGCGCATTCTCCGAAAGCATGTTTTCTTTACCCAAACGATATGAGAGATCATTGCCAGGCGTGAAAATTCATGGATAAGTCCAGACACACCGTTCACCTCAACTGCAAGACTGAATCACTTTCGGCAGACAGATAAGTACGCAACCCAACCAAGGCAAAAAGACTGTGGTTTGTATTATTACATAAATTCGATGAAACGATTTTATACCAAACGTTATCAAGAATGTAATGCAAGGGCGCTTTATTACATGTCATGCATCCATCCATCCGCAAAGCAAAGTCAGTCCGCAATACCAACTGGCGAGCGCTGACTCATACGTCTTATCCACCACGCTAGAGTCTCTCGGTTATTCTCGCACTTGTTAGGTACCGCTTTGATTAGTTCATGGTAAGAGGGAAAGATTTTTAAAGGCGTGACATTCGCAAATTGTTAAGTAGCAGAAAGAAATGCATACAAAAAAATGATTATGATACACTTGTGATAAGACATACGATGTGATACGTACACACTGATATGTAATGATGCAAACATATTGATGTCTTTAAAAATCGGTTCATATTGAGAACCGGAGAAAATTGAATAACATATTATTTTTATTCCTTTCGAACAATGAGTTTCTATTGTTTCCGATGAATGAAAAAGTAAAATCATTTACACAAACATTTATCTGGGCGCGGGTAAAGCAGCGCATATACGAAATGCTCATGTTACTGCCATAGATTAATGAATACGATAACAAGCGCGGCAGTTGAACAAAGGAAAACATGCTTACTTTCATACATAGAAAGCGCAAAAACAAAAACGAAATGCTTAAACAACGTATGCATGCAAATGTACTTAGGAGAGCTGCTGGATAAATTTGCCTGCGAGTCTAAACAAAAAGTGCTGAAAGGCGCATTCTTCTCTCGTATTACAAAAAGCTATTAGAAAATGAAGTAGGATAGCATGGAAAAAACAATAAAAATAAATAAATGAGGTTTTGTAGAACTTTATTACATCAGCAAATGAATTTTCTTTCCTGTTTTCCAATACAAAGTTCAAGGTTAACATTATTTAGGATTTAAAAAACAATTTGACTTAAAAATATGTTATAGCGAAAGATGATAACTTCAAACATATTCTTTTTATATTCAAATATTGACAATAAACATTAAATTATCTTCGATTTAGAGCAAATCTTTTAGTGCAAACTACTTGGTTGTTTTTGTCAGTTTTTGGTCTTTGTTTTTGTGGCTATCAGCAAAGGATGAGAAGAAGGAAGGTTTGAGAGATTCCACAAAGTAGATATATTCTTCAACAGATTCTATTATTATTATTATTAATTTCGCCAGAGAAATAAATTCTAAGACAAAACTCTTAAAAGCACTAGCATCTAAGGCTATCGGCTTTTATTAAAAACTTTACCGCACTTGAGATTCGAATCCACGACCATTGACTTGCTTGTCGAGATTCCTCGCCTTCGTCTACTCAGGCGGATCCACAGATGCTAATTGTGAATCGATTTAAGCATAGCCGTCTGCCCGTCTGTCTGCTTGTCCATCTATCTGGTTGTCCGTCTTTCCGAATGTCCGTCTGTCCGTCTTTGTAATGTCTGTTTTAAACATTCTTCTGGCCGCAAAAATGAACCTATCGATTTTAAATTTGGTGGGTGTTCGAAATGGGGCAAATAGATCGAAGGACAAAGCTACAGTATCACCTGTCCTAAGGACATTTTTGTTTGCTTCAAGACCTACAGCAAATAAATCTACAAAAATATTGATTGTATATTCTATGAGTGGTGTTGGTGGTACCTGTACAAAAATGGGAAATCTCACCATGCCTACCCAATATTGTAGTGTAACAAAATGTACTTTTTTTTCAATATCTTCATAATGCGCAGAAACAAGCTTCTGGAACCCCATAAAGCTTATGAATGCTTGGGCAGTTCGCAATTTGGAATCCACCTTAAAACGTCCGTCCGTTCGTCTGTCTGTCTGTGCAACTATGTAATATCTACAGACCCAGACTTTTTCTTTTCTTCTTGCATTTCTTTGTGCTATTGACGCGGAAGTATCATGAAGTACCCATGCCGCGAAAATACAATTTTTTCGCAAAACCTTCAATGGTTCTTTCTCGTCGGAACAATTACATTGATTGCCAGACGACATGAGCGCGATTGAGGTCACTGCCGCCAATGTAAAATGTTAGAAAAAACTCTGATAAACGACAAACGGTTTCGATGATCGTTCCTCACAGTAATGAAAGCAAAAACTTTGAGTAAAGAAATTGAAATAAATATTACGGTTGCACTTTCAAACAAAAAGCAGACGAAACAAATATGCAGCTCTCCTACGTAAGGTTTATGTACATAATACAATTTATGATAAGTTTTCCTATTCTTGTTGTTCAGAAATATTAGACACAAACTAATGCAATACAAGCATTGTGGCTGTTATAAAACTTTAGACAATAATTCCCTTAATTTATGACTTTACGTAATGTCCTTTTTGGCAGTTCCAATTGGAAAAGACGCAATATATATATATACACAAACGACATATCTACATTATAGCCAAAAGACGCAAAGTGCAACTTAAAAAAAATTAATTTATTTTTTATTTTTTTTTTTTTGCCAAAAGAGCGAAATGCTTGCCTCAATATTCGAAATTACTCATCGATTGAAGGATTCGATAGCGAGGCTGCTGACGACAATACAAATAAGTAAGATATTAGCTGAAAGCATTTTCTGGTAAATAGCCAAAAAGGAGAGTAAGAGGTGCACGGTGTGTCCATTTAAAGCCACCTGAAACTCTATCACACGAGTAGTTGACAGTAATTAGATATAAAGGAGCAGGAGATCGATCTTATGACCGATACGTGCAACTTCTTTCCGTAACTATTTATATCCAGCTTACCTAAGAAATAGATACAGAGCAGGAAGAATCTTTTATTTATCTAACATAAGCTCTGAGAATTATTAGAGTTTGTCAGCAGTTGTGATAGATAGACAGAAGAGATAAGAAATGAGCTACCGACAGGTATCTTCAGCTACCATTTAGGCCTTCTTTGCAAGCAGATTAAAAAAAAGGTTCGAAGATTAGTTAAAAGAATTGTTAGCTTTAAATTCTAAATATTTAACTAGAGCGTTATCGGATGACTACTTTGTCATCAATTACGATAGACATAAACATGTAAAGTATGTATCACAAAAACATATCGTAATTTTCTCTACTCACGACCAATTGCCCAGTCGTTATAAACAAGACAACAACAAAAAAATGCAGGGTTAGTTAACAGTGAACTGGAATAACGCAAATAAAAATAGCTGTAGTTTCCAAAAATTTAATCCAATTAGTCTTTATCGATCGATTAGTTGGCTATCATTCGCAAAGAAATATAAGCGCATAAGTAAAAAGAGAAAAAAAAATATCTTGCTTGGTCTCTATCCCCTTTTTGGGCTGGATGTGACTTACGTACAAGAAGTACGATATAATTAGTGCACGTATTACCCACAGATTACAACTTGTCAAATTTATAGAAGATTCATGAATTTTGTCCAGTGCAAATAGCAATAGAAAACTCTATATAGGAGCTTAGCACAAATATCACAAAAAACACGAGAAACGATTTCAAGCATGCTAATGAATCGACAGATATTCAAGCAAAGTTTCCACGTTTTGCAAATTTAGTCTTTGCCATTGTAAACCCATTTTTAGGGTTGACTTTTACGAATGAACGCAGGTGCCATTCAGTCTGTTAAATGTCCAACTTAACAGAAAACAAAGGGCCTGCTCTGTTAAAATTGATGAGTATGTTTAATAAAGAATTTTAAAAAATTCAAAGCATAGTTTTCGGGAGCTAGCAATATAAAATTGAATATTAAACGTAACTAAATGGGTTTGTTTAACTCGATAAGGTTTATTTGAATTTAATTTGATAAGGTTTTTATTAATCTTCCATGAAACGTTTTTTGTTTTAATATTTTAAAATTATTCCAACTCATCAATAATTATTGCTTCTGACGTAGTTTCTAAACCAACCGATGACGGAGCTGGTCTGATTTTGCCCGAATTAGCATTCTTTGGCGCTTCGCTGTTCTCATTGCTAGTTTTAGTGCTGTACTCTTGCATTTTCATCAACAGCATGCCAAACACTTGCCCAGGCAGGGTGGTTTGGAGCACGTGCATCAATCGTGCCGGCTGACCGCAGACAACCAACGCATTGGCCAAGTGTTCAACTCCGTTATCGAATTCCCCACGTGCAATTAAATTTTCGCCCAGTTCTATTTCCTGTAGAAAATATCTTTCAATTGCCTGATGATCATTCAGATTTGGTATTCCACTATCTCTGGCACTATCTTGTTTAATATATCTTCTCCTTCTTTGGCGAATTTTCTTTTTGTAATCAGAATCCTTTCTGCGTTTATTATCAAAATAAATGCAATATCCAATACACGCGGCACCAATGGCTCCAGCCGCAATCCGCAATACCGTTTTATTAACATTGAACATTTTGCACAAGATGAAAATTTTTCATATATCAAAATATATATATTTTTCTCGAATGTGAAAAAATAAATTTAACGTTATTCTCAAGACACAATTGTAGCAGAAATGATTATTTGAGAATTGAAAAAGGCAAGCAAAGTAAAAAAATTGAAAAATTTTCTTTTTTAACCATTGATTAATCTAAGCTTTATATATATTATGCATAATCGTAGTCAAGAGGCGCACTTCAAGAACTACGGAAACGGGAAAATTTGAACCCATTACACCGTTTTTATAATATTCCATTTAAAAACCTTTACCCTTTCAATACAATAGTCTTTAATTAAGTCTCGCATCAAACATTTAAATGAGAGGCGAAATGAATTCCCTCAGATATTTTCTACAAGTACTAACAGACGGACATGCCTAATTATAGTGAAACTGGGTAAGAATTTATATACTTTATAGACTTTTTGAACTTTTTTTTCGGCGCCTTATAAATGGAGTGAAAAAATTTATATTTTGATACAGTCGATAGCTCGACGAACAAGCAGATAGACGGACAAGCGGATAACACCCTACACTACAGTAGCATTTGCCTATAACACGTTAGTGCACTAAATTTTCTCAAAATATCTCAAAAAATATTTCTAGTAGGTGGACCACAAGAAAACAAGTCGGACAGATAGACCGACACACTTAAATCAAATAAGAAAATGATTCAAAACTCTATATCGAAGTGTTTTATGTGTTACATATATCCGCATAAATTTGTATCCCAACTGATGAAGGCCGTTAGTGCGAACAGAAAGTGAGCAAAAGAATGCTTTAGGTTTTCTACGTAAAACCACTTAAATGATTAGAATACATAAATTATTTTATTCTATGTAATAAATCTTACATAATGACCGTACCAAATGTTACCAATGCTTTTATTGTATGTCAAGAAGTTCTCCAAAAATAATGAATCTCTTATGGCATTCTCTACAGAATATGTTACTGCAGAAAAGATTTATTGCTAATAATTCTATTCATCTATCTATTCCCAGTTGGTTAAATTAATTCAAAACAGCAGAGAAACATTTTTGGGCGAATCCTGGATAGCCCGAATGCCCGACGACCACTCCAAATAAAATAAACAATTACTTTCAATTCATTTATTAAAGAAAACATCTTTGTTTTCTCTTTTGCAGAAATTCTTTTTATATCCGTCACCGAAGGATGTTAGGTATATTCATTTTGTCAAAACGCTTGTGATGCCAAGGAGGAAGCATCAGAGACCACGCAAACTATATATATATATTCTTGATCAGCATCAAATTCTAAATCGATTTAAGCATGTCCATTTGTCCATCTGGCTGTCTGTACATCCGCGAGTCAGTTCGTCCGTGTAGCTATCGACTTCAAATTTGGCAGAAACATTGGAAGCTCTTGCATGCAGATTTGTACTCAGAATGCGCCAAATTTGTCGAAGGCCACGCCCACAGCACCACATAAACTAGGAACACCTGCCTTTTTCAAAAGGAGTAAAAAATGTGTTTTTGATTATTGCTCATAAACTATAGCCAAGAAATGTACGAAAATTTCTACGCGCGATGCTGCAGTATCTTTAGGGAAATGGGAAAATTGACCAAACCTTCATAATATTATAGTGTATCAAAATTTAATTTTTTTTCGCTACCCTTATAGCGCGCAAGGACAACCTTCAAATATCCCATAAAGTACATAAATCCATCAGGGAATGAGGATGAAAGACTCGGCCACGACCGAATATAATTTTCTTGCTTGTTATACTTTTACGTTGTTGCGGACGAATCAGTCCAACTTTTTAATTTTGATATGTTAAAAATGTGTATTTAAGAAATACATACGCCACATATCTATGTGACTATTGAGATTTCCTCGCATTTCTAGATATAATCAATGACACAAAGAAACTTCTTGGAATCATCTAAAAGTCTTGTGTTATTCGAAAACATCAATAGCTCATAGGGTCGTTAAAAGCCAGAACTTAATGTTCTCCTTATTAACTAGTTTGCTATCAACCGTCACACACATGTGACAAAGCCATTTCTTACCATAGTCCGACATCAAGTATATGTGACGTATTTGCATGAACTTAAGAACTCTTGCACTGTGATGGATGGTTTTTCCAAAAGACCCTGGCAGTGATGTGACATGAAATATTTTTCACTTTTCTGCAGTTACACTAAAATTTATAGAATATCTTCATAGTTATATTTATGGCTCACTTCGTACTTGATCGCTTTTAAGGTTACGTCATATCGTTTATTTTTCTTTGAAACTTTTCAGCTTATGAAAATCATTAAATATTTCTGATCGGTTGATTTTAGCGTAAATTGAAAAAATTAGGCATTTCTCATGAATATGTCTGTTTTTATCCGCATGAGTAGTGAAGAAGGGAAAGGATTGCGACTAGTAAGTCAATGGTCGCCGGTTCGAATCTCATGCGGCAAATGCGGCAAAGTTTGCAATACAGCAAGTAAGCATATGATTTAAGTTATTCGGCAGCCTCTAAATCCATACTTTGTAAATTTATGTATAAAATATATATAGACAATAATCAAATAAATATCTGTTGATAAAGAAATTTCTGCAAAGCGACTCACTAGCAAAAAACCATCTGCAATACGTGAACTTATTTATGAATTTTACAAACTAAACGATAAAACTATTTTAACTAAACATTTTTTAGAGATCATTGTAAAAATGTGTACTCTATGTTTTTATCCTAAAAACTATTTCTATATTTTAATTTCTTTTATTAAAAAGTTTTCCTTTACTACTGTAACTATTCCAGCAACTTAAACATCACATTCGAACACTTCTTCACATAAGAATATAAATGAGAAGAAAAAAACAAAAGCTTTTCCTTTCTACACAGCTAAATTCAAATGCTCTAGTGTTTCATATAGCACTTTATGCATATATATATATATACATATATATATATATATTCTATCGAAAAAGTACCGGGAATCGTAAGTACAAGAACTCATCGCGATTTATAAGACAATACACATTTCATGCACACTCTCCGAATTAGTTCGCCTACTAGTTCGACTACTAAGTGTGCTCGAAATCATTTTCAATTAGTCTTAAAATAAATTTCAGTTTCAGTTAACATCAAATCTATTATACGACATTGAGTTACCACACTGTTAAGCAAATCCGCATTTGATGGTTTGATGTACAAGTCAAATTCTAAATGTGATAAAACCAAACACGCCTCAATGATGGTTTACACGGCTCATGCAGCTGGCGATTGTCGAAAAGATTAACAACAATTCGCACAACATTTCGCTTAAGGAGAGATTTCAAAAAAAGAGATATTGGTAACCCTCTCGCAAAAGGGTATGTAAGCAGAATATATGCGAAAGACAGAGAAAGCAAACAATTTAGTTTCTAATTAAGAGTGTTCGTTAGTTATCTATTTAAGAGTAAACTACCAGTTAAAATAAACTTAATGAAAATTGTCGTACAACACGTGTGGTATAAGTGTATATTAAGTTAGTGCGGATGCGTGCAACACTCAGAACGATTTGGATTAGATCTACTTTTTATTATACCGATGTAAAATTGTCTGTCCAGCTGTCCATCATCTTGTTTTCTTGTCTTCAACCTACAGATCTCAATATTTCAGATATTTTACTAAACGACTCACCTGTTTTTTTATGGAATGCGATACTGGATTGCTCCAAGCTTGTCTGTCTGTCAGTCCGTCTTGTTTCTTTTTTCTTTTTGCGTTCTATCTGTAGGGTCCAAATTTTAAGTTATTTTGGTGAAATTTGTTCTACTGACATGCTTTGGCCCAAGGACGAACGTTATTAAAAATGATTTGGAGCGGACCACTTCTCATACACCGCCTTATCGTGAAAATTCACCATATGAATGACAGTAGCGTGATGTAATGTCTGGCCCACTATAGTGTTTTTATTTATTTTTCTTTAATTTCTCTTTAGAAGTTTGCGATCAAATACTTTAATTATGACTTCACGGGCCTCTTCATAAGACTTAAGCTAAAATTTTGTAAAAGTTTATAAATTCCGTAGGAAGAAAGGAGTTAACGGACACAACCGCTTTACGGCTGCCTTGAACCTTGAGTTAAACATATTGCTTTAAATGAAGTTATTTGCGAAGGAAATCACATCAACTGAAATTAAATGCAAGTCCCGGTACTTTTTTTCAAAGAATACTTATTTGCCTATGCAGAAATTATTCTAATGTGCTTTTTTATGGTACATGCAGTAAATCACAATGTATAGCTTGTGACGGTTTGCTTACTTGAATGAAAAATGTAAATTATATTTATTAAATGTAAAATGATGCTTATATGGTCTGTACACAAACACACTTACATAGGTACCCACGCTCAAGCATACTCGCAGCAAAGTATGCTTATGTTTTATATTATATTGGAATACCGTACAATTTAAATGATGTGGATAAGGACATGCATATGCGTAGTTGTTGACTGTGTGCAGCAAAACATTTCCAATAAATCCATTTATTTATGCAAGCTCTAAGATATAGGTGTTTCTAGTTATCGTACTGGACATATGTAAGTAAGTAAATACATTTTAATGCACATAATGTACATATATGAACAACATGTACATATATGAAAACGAACTATTCTCTCTAAATAAAGCCCACAACAACGGCAAATAGACAAATCATAAGTGAGCAATTTACCGAATGACTGGCTTATCCATTACTCCGTAACTGCAACTGTGTCCGTACGTACGAATATGAATTATTATTATTGCCACACGAGGGCTGAGATGTGGTTAAATAGTCATCCTTCTTATAAAACATACACACACACACAAACACACACACACAAACACACACACACAAGCACACACACAAGTACAATATTTTTGTAATTTTGCGATTATTTTTCTTAAGTCTCCCAACTATTGAATTTTCCTTTTTGTTCTATATAGCAAATGATTTTAATATTCGATATAATCGGATTCTTATAGCAATTTTCTGATTAAGCTTACAACTCCAGAAAATTTACATCCACTTTAATACGAAAAACTTGTTCAAAGTTTATTAAAAAAAAATTTACTTTTACTCTACTTTGGAATTAAAAATTTCTCCTTCAAAGTAAATTTCTTACTTGTACATAATTGGTTGTTCGATTTTTGTCTCCTATTGGAAATGTATATGAAAATACGAGGGTGATATATAAGTGAAGCATAAAACTTTATGCTTATGTTCTGTAAATTTTACTATTTTCTATCGCGAAAAACAACGTTGTTGCCCTTTGCGTCAAATTTAACCATTATCACTTCAGTTTCTCTTGTGAAGTAAGCACGCAGTTAACCGCTGAGCACAATCAAAGCACTTGCATCGAGCGCACGTGCATCATGCATTTAAATTTGGAAATATAACTTGATTGTACGTGTTTACATGTGGTTGAACATTGCTTTGCAGGACTACATATCATATAAAACTATTGTGAAACCACTATGGGCTATAATAGTATAGCCCACAACCCACCATTCCATAGCTTATACTGCACAACAAGTATTCCATGCAACAACTATTAAAAATGAAACGTGGGCCGATCCGGACAATTGTCCACAGGGTCTGTCCTTGAGCCAAAACCAAATTTCATTACAGTACCTCAAAAATTGTGGCCACTAAGTTGAACATAAAAACACAAGACGGATGGACAAGTTTGGATCGATAGAATAAATGTTGGGCTTAGCTCAAGTCCTTCTAGGTGTTGCATACATCCGCACAAACTTAATATACCCTTGTGCTACGGATGGCAGTACTTGGAGTAGGATATAAAAATATGTTGCATGATGCACAATGCCAACGTATACAGCGTGTTTAGCACTCAAGCCAAACATCAGGTGCATTTCATAAGACGCTTCTTCATTTTGACTCTTGTTCAAAAGGTGCGTAGCTCCACATTGAACTTTTTCCACCCAATACTGACTATCTAAATCTATTAATTTGCTAACTTGTAGAAGAAGCAGATGTCAAACTTCTGTAATCTGAAAAGACTAACTGTTTCCAAGCTTTGTGGTGTCAACTTTGTGAGGCGAGCAGCTGCCGTGCTAGGCAATAGTATTTTTGTAATAAAGTTTTCACTACTTTGAAGGCATCTGTATTATTAGGTATAGCCTAAGAGAATCGGATGGTGAGAAGGTGAACAAAAATGAAAGAGAAATTGTAAGCAGCTTAAAGGTTAAAAAAGCAACTGCTTTTTAGCATCGGTTTCCTTTTGCACGAAAGAGTCACAAAGTGTAACAGAAATCGTATTTTTCTTTTCTGAAGCATATATAGAGGCCAGTCAGTATTGTACAAAAGCGATTGGAACACCGTACTTAGGCTTAGAGGAAATTTCATTAGACTTCGAGCCAATTCTCATAAACATTAGCAGATAATTATCAATTGGAAGAAAATTGAAGTTTATTGTGTATGACAATGGGGGGCCGTAACTGAATACTGAAGGTCTTATTATGTTAAGCTTTTCAACAGGTTGAAACCTTCAATTCTCATCAAAAACACCTTACTTACTTACTTACTTATAATCTTGCCCTCGTATAAAAGGAAATCATCATTGTTTTATTATAAAATAGCGACGAAAAAACCTCACCACTAACCCACATATTATAGCATAAGTTTCTTCTACATGTTACACGCGATTTTAAATTTTTAATACGAAACTTAATATACAGAGAAAATGACTGCATAAATATATATATATATGTGTATATACAAACGTCCTTAAACGCACAACCGCTACTTTATGGGATATTATTATTATTATACTGTTACACAATGGAAAGGGAGAGCTTTGTATGCCACGACAATTCGTCGTCGTCGTCGTCGTCGTCGTCGCCGTCGTACATGACGAAATTACTTTGTAATGGTAATTGTTGTTGAAAACCGAAAGAAATTAGGGTTTTCCTATTGTTCTTCGTTCGTTCGCAGTACTTGTGGGTTTCATACAACAAACCAAATACTTCTTTTCATAGGAAATTCAAAGAAATAAGTTTTACAAGAGAAAGTATTGCTCGTTGAATGCATTTCTGTCAAACATTTGTAACACAATCAACATTTTTTACATTTTGTGTCCTGATTGGTTTATAACCAGGCAACATATATATTTTCATTTGTTTGCGGCTCACAAATTAAAATGAAAATTTCTTTTTAATTTACAATAACTCCTTTGATATGAAGATATTTGGCAGTGATTAGATGGGAAGAGAAATTATAAAAAAAAAACAAAAAAACCAAAAAGGCAAAGTTTTTCTCTTTCACTTCTTCGAAAGAATCTTTGTACTTCTCACACCTGTGTATAATTAAAAGTCTCGGAACCCTATAAGGCACCTATACACTTGATTTTTTTCTCTTTTCAGGAAACTAAAACCTGCTAAGCGAATATAAATCAAGCCCATCTTTAATTCTCTGTGTTTAAGGTGGAATTTTCTATATATCCGATTTCTTTTTACGCGGTATTTTATATTATATGTGCATGCATATCTAGGTCTCTTGTAACGTGATAGGGACGCTTCAGAAAAGAAGAATATAAAAACACCGCGTAAATAAATTATATACAGTAAAACGAAAATAACAAAACTCCGAGTAAAAAAAGTATATTAGAGGATTTTTGTACATACGATATTTTGCACGATGTCTTGTACAACATACTTCACATATATATATTGTGCAATATATCATACACATATAAAATATCATATATAATATAAGCATATATTGCATGTACAGTATATATATGTATGTATTGTACGAAATATCGTATCTTACAAAAATATCGTACAGATAACTCTGCTTTAACACGTTGACCGCCGCGTCATACTGCATATACATTATATCGCATAAGTAGCTCTTCTTTAATACGGCAGGAATACTTCAGAACAAAATAATATAAAAAAATGTGTAACCGTGTAAAAAAATAAATATAACATATATCTACAATGTAGATGTATATATAGATATGTAGGGACATACATATATATCTATATATATGAATATATTTAGTTTTATATACATATGCGTTTCATATATATATTGTCAATAAAAGGAAGAACGAAAATCTTCTAAATACATGATGCTTGTGAGGAGAGGAAAGAGAAGAAATACTGCATATTCTTATCAGACATTGGGAATCTTTTCCATTCGCTTTTGACGGTGAAAGCATTCTTGCATTCTTAAGCAGTCTTGTTCGAAAATTTCTCAATGAAAGGAAGAAAGGAAATATTCTAAACACATGATCCTTGTGAAGAGGCGGAAAAGAAGAAACGTGAGATATTTATGACAGACGTGGGGACTTTATTTCATTCGCTTTCAATCACTAAAATTAGTTGCATTTTGTACAAAAAATCAAGCTGGGTAAAGGGGCACTTTGGGTATTCTTTCACTCACACTAAAAATGATTTTAAATAATCATGATCGCACACAAATATGTATTAAATCTAATTAATTACTTTTTGACTAATTTTCGCCCTTAGTAAATATATTTTCCCGTAACTATATATTAATGCCGATTATTCATGATCCTATTTGGGAGTAACCATTATCTTGTTTTCAAAATTGATCTAAGCAAATCAGTCCAAAAATAATACTGGTTTGGATTCCAACTGTTGCACTTCTTGCGATTAAAGGGACGCAAAGCGGAACTTAATTAATTAAAATTATACATTAATTGATTAAGAGTTTATATAAACTGTATGAAATGAATATACGTAGGAAGCCAAGACAACTAGAATAGCTTTTGTAAATAGCGTCAATGATTTCTTCTCGAAGGGAATATGAACCTAGCACTGGTATTGAATAACGCTATTACTACTCCGTGTAATAGTATTAATAAACTATACGGCCGTTGAACACTTTTTTTTAACTCTGAATAGATCGATTTATATATAGAAAGAAAGAAAAGACAAACATGTTTCAATCTACTGATCAATCCTGATGTATATGGTGAAAAATGAAAAAGTTATGATTATCCCAAAAAAAAAAAAAATACTTTTGTGTGTGTGTTTCATTTGTAGCTTGGTATAGCGTATTATAAAGAAATCAGCAACAACAACAATTTCAATATATATATACAAAATATTGTAACAATTTACATACCTTAGTAGCCATACTGCGATGACAACAATGTCCCGAATTTTACAGAACAAAAACAAAGAAGTTGCTTATGATTATTTGTATTCCTTGTTGTTTCAAAAACAAATTTTTATTGTATTTAAGTTTTTCATTTTTTCAAGTGGCACTTAATGCTTTAATTATGCAGATTCAAACTGTTCACTCGAAAACTGTGTGTCTTTGTAGTGGGTAAAGGACTTTTTTTATTCGTTTGCTTTATTTATATTTTGTTTTCTATTCTTAATTTACGGTTACTGTCTATTTCGGCTTATGTTTCTGTTAGACGAAAAAAATGCGTTTTTACCGTAAGAAAATTATATAAGAAAAGGGATTTAGGCCGATCTAGCCGAATCTTTCATGACCAAAATTGAATTTTTTTTCGCTACCCTTACATCGCGCAAGGGCAACCTTCCAATATCCCATAAAGTATTCAAATCCTTCATGGAATGCACCTAAACATGTCCGTTTGTTCGTTTGTCCATATGTCTGTCTGCACAACTGTCTAGTATATGTGGTAAACATTCTCCCGTTAGCGAAAATGAATGGGTCGCCTACAAATTTGCGAAAGAATTTGGGAGGGACCCAAACTTTTCAGAGAACATGTCGACAACGCCATCACGCCTATGAGACAAACACTTTAATTTTGAAAATGGAAAAAATCAGGTGCGCCCACTCCATATTACGGAGCATGAAAATATAGTTCTTTTCCTTTTTTTTGCCTTTTTTGAGATAACGGTGGTGGGTAGAACAGATTCGGTCACGACCGAATAAAATTTTCCTACTTGTTTAATTTGGCCCTTTTTTTTTTAAATAAGTAAACAAACAAACGTAAATTAAAATGTTATTCTTAGGCTTATGTTACCCTATTCGCATTTCAAATAAAATGATATTTTATCACTAATATGTCGGTGAATGCAACCATTCTAAAATGTATTTCCAACATGCACGTATGCACGTATATACATATATATACATATACAGTAACTGCTATATATATATATATATATATATATATATGTAGCGGCTCATCATGACAGTATGGTCATTAAATGTCTTTCTTGGCTTCAACTACTACTACTACTTTTAGAATTAAGTGCTACGACCGAAGAGAGCAGAAATGGGTAAAGATGCATTTACTGTAATTTAAGTATTGATTTTTTTTGTTTTTTTACTCTTTTCACACATTAAGGTACATTTCCTTTAATTATAATTTTCTTCTTAAAATAGCTTGACGATAAATGAATTTTTCAAAGAATCGCATTGAAGAAATTTCATAAAATTTCAAAAATTATTTTTCTTAAATAAATAAAAACAATCCAATAAATACATTATTCTCTGCCTTCTAAGATGTTTCACGACATATTTGCATATTTGGTTCGTTTTACGACTACATCCTCCAAAATCATATTGAATGCTTCATACCGTACCGCACTTTTAATTTTATTGTAGTTTTTCTTTCTTTTTCATCTTTAACTTAAACCACACACAAACTTACAATCAGAGTTTATAAATTTTATTCTGATATCCTTATATTCATTTACTTTCAATCACTTTTATTAAATCACGATATTCGTTCACCGATGTTTACGAAACTAACGCGACTCACTTACTAAGAGCAAATTTCGAGAAAATTTCGAATAATAGCAAACAGTAAATGCATAGGAATTTATAATAACGGTAAGGCATGACATGCGCGTCTCCTAATTCTTGTTGCTGACAAAAACGGGGTTGTTTTCCGCTGCAATTGCTGAATTCAGTTTTTATGAAATGACCCACAAATGCTCTGGATGGAGTATTGACTTTTTTCATTTATTCCTTGCTTCTTTCTCGAAATATTTATAATATTTAAAATCAAAACTTAACTAAGGTTTTAAACATTTTTTGTTTTTCTTTTTTTTTATTGATTTATCGATCTCTTAACGTATAGGCACCCATCTCTCGAGCACATCAGCATACTTTTTACGCTCTGAAAAGCAAAGCACCTAAGTTATTAGACATTAACTCTTTAACGTTCAAAAGACCGCTTACGTATTGGAGGAAAATCATCGGGATGAAGCTGCACATAGTGCCGGAGTATAGCATCACGGGTAGCTAAGTATTCATCGCGTTTCTTGTCTATATATATGCCGAATACTCCGCCAGCTATAGCAAAGGCGATATGCTTTTGAATGCCTAGAAATTTGTCCAATTTTTTTTTTTTTAATAGCTTTTCATTAGGTTACGTCACATACTGACTTACCGCTGAAAGCTGGCCTACGAAAACCCCAATTAAGAAAAGCCGCCAAACCAAAACCGGCCGCAGCACAGGCAACCGGATTGTACACCGAACTTAAAAATCTTGGCTGCCGTCCGACTTTATCCGTCAATAATTCCAAAGGATCAATAACATCAGAACCCATCGTTTGAACGATATACTTTCAACACAACAGTAAAAAAAAGAAAAGTAAATAATTCAACAGCTGTACAAAAATGTCATAATATGTTAAATACAATTCACAATAGAGAATTTAAAACAACAAAAGAAGATAGCAGTAGTGGTGCTGCATAAATTTTGTGAGACAAATGGAAATCAAATTTCGATTATTAAACTTCTTTTGGCCTCTTACTGGCGGTTACCCTCTTCGAAGGTTACCATAGTAAGCCGTATGCGTTTTCAGCAGGAATTTGACTTGATTTTAAGAGCGTTAGTACAGTTAAAATAATTCGCTTATTTATTTTGAGCATTTGTTATACTTCCTATGAGCATTTCAGTTTACTGGTGTCGATCGCACACAATTTACATACAGAAATTATTATGTTAGCAGTATAAGGGAGACACAAACATAATAATTCAATAGTGATTCACAATTTAAAACATTTCGAGCTGTTCACGAGAGAGAGATCGATTTAGTGGTAGTCGAAATTCCAGAGCTTTTTATAACTATCCAATATTAGCTGATCAAAGTATGAATTTTACCACATTTTGTATGATATGTTTTAAAAATGTTTTAAGATATCCAGCAAGGCGTTATTAACGATTAAGCTGCCATTTAGACGGCGTGCTTTAAAATTCATTTAGTAAGATCATACGTATTTTGTTTTTGTAAATCTGGTACCATACGTTTTCCGTTCCTCCTAGCATGCATTGCTGACTGTTCGCCAAATGTGTATGTTAGTGAGGAAACAAGGAACTGTAAGGCTGAGGGATGGAAAGGAAAGGAAAGGCTTACAATAATATTCAAATAGCTTATTAAGCAATTATTGAAGTATTAAAGAAAAATTCATTTCTGAAAAAAATTCAAAAATGCCGAGAAGCACTATCAATGTATGTGGCATATGGGATCCAAATTTGAATTAGGAAAAAAATATATTTGTATAATCTACATGCCTATATTCAGTGCAACGTGTAGGATAGTTTAGAAATATATACATTTTTGTGGTCGATGATGTGCGGCGAGTATTTGAGCGTAAAAGTTGAATTTTCTTTAATAAACAGTCCTATGTATTTCAACAGACTTTGTTTTTCAAAGATTTGAGTGAAATTTGAGTGAAAAACACGACGATTGTTTTTGAGCTATGCTGCTTACACGTTTTCAAAAATTGTCTTGCGAAAAAAATATATATTATAACTTTCAACTGTCCCTACACCGCCATGTAATTGTATTCGAAAAATCAAACTTTCAAATCAAATCGTTTGAAACTGTGCCCCACGTCGCTGTATGTTATTCTTGCCTATTTAAGAGATCATTTAAGCCAAAAAAAAAAAAAAAAAAAAAAAAAAATGGATTTTTTAAATTATGCACTATGTCAACTTCTTTTGAAAATGCGCAATTAAATTGCGTCGCAAAAATTGAACGATGACGCGTATGACAGGTTATATGTAATATGAAATTAGATTGAAATGAAGAGACTTGACAAAATGACGAAAATATTTTCTAAAATACGTTATTATGGCAAATGCACGTTCATGATTATGAAATTTTATGAGGAGATTCCATAAGGATTTGTTGTTGTACTTCTTTCATGACGAGTACACTCGTCATACACATTTAACTGATCAGGTATTTCAACTTTTTAAAGTCTACTTACAATCCAATCATATAACAGAATATATTTCAGCAATTTTTTCCAAATCGCTCAAGGTTTATATGCAAATTCTCGTACGGACAAAGCACGTCAGGCACAGTAGCGTCAAGTCACTGTTTGGCATAATAAAACTAATGAATGAATAAAACAAAAACCAACTAAGACTAGGGAACCTCTTATGACTGTATGCGAAAGTATTAACGATGGAATTATTTTTTGTCTCTTTTTTTTTTTTTTAAGAAAATTTGGAACTAAATGTTTCAGAGATGTGGGAAATCGAATTCGATGTAACTACGCTTAATAAAAGAAATTGTCGCATTAAACAACAACGAGTATCCACATTTAGTATTATTATTTAAATAGAAATAAAATTATCATAAACACATTGTTTTCTCATACAATTATTATTTATTTTATTTGCAAGCATAAAAAAGCAAATATATATTTATTGCATATAAATATAAAACTAGATGTATAGTAAAAATACACAATCGTAGCCAAAAAATTTTAACATACGTATGCTAACGTAATGCATATAGTACGCGTGTATATATATAGAAACACAACTTAATTTTCTTTAAATAATTTTCTGGCTGTAATAAACTTTAAGGCAATTCTTTAGGACACTTTCAAACACATCATGTTTTTTTTTTTGAAAAGCTTTTCTTGTAAAAAAATTAAAGCTAGCGGACTGGACGAGACAATGTTTAGAATATGCATTTAAGCATCTTTTTCGTTTATTAACAAGTTGAGTTTTAGCAACGAAAAACGTAATTAGGCACAAAAATGTAATATTGATTGATTTTTTTTCTTTTACTCTTATATAATTAAAATAATTTTTTTTTTTCAAATTTTTTCTATCGCTAAAAAACGAAAGTAAACAAGATTATTTTAAAATAAAAAAACAAAATAAAATTTAGAAAAAAAAAGGAAGTAACTTTAGTCTCAGCCAAAAAGAAAAACGTAAAAAAAAATTATATAAATAAAATGTAAAACTAAAGGAAGATCAATTGTTGCACGTTAAAACGATTAATTGCATATTTCTATAAGTGTATATTTGATAAAAAAAAAAAAAAAAAAAAACAATGTCTTAAAAAAATTTTAAGTATTTTTAAATTTAATTATAAAAAAAAGGCACATAAGAGAACAAAATTGAAAAGTACATTATTTCACAAAGCAATATTATGAGAATTTCTAAAACTAAATCAACATCATTGACATTCAAAAGTTATCGTCAACCTTTGTTATACATATTCAATCCTTCAGTATTTAATTAAGCTTTTGCATCCTTCATTTAAATGATTAATTAAAACAACTCTATTTGCATATTACCTCATATTTTTACACTCATATATTATATGTGAGTGTATATGTGAAATTACTTGAATAATTTCGTTTCCATTACATATTTATGCCATGATGAGCAAAGGAAACATTTTTTATCCCATGACAGAGAATATAATATTTCGTTCGAGTTTATGCAATTTTTCAGAAATTTTTCTTAAAGTTTTTCAAAAAGTTATCAGATAAAATTCCTAGAATAAAAAATAATTACATTTAAAGATATAAACCATAACATGGATTGAATGTTTGTTATGCGCCTCCAGAGATAGGTACATTTTTCTATGAACCAACGGATCGAAAGTTAAATGTCATGACTTAATTTAAAGTTTCTCTCATTAATAGGACTTACAATATGTCATGCGATTTCGTCGCATACAATTTTTAGAAGAAATCACACAATTAATTAGCAAAATGTAAATTTTCCTTGCTGTTAAAATTCATTAGATAGAAATTAAAAAAAAAAAAAAAATATTTTAAATTATAATCACAAATACAATTAGAAATAGCGTTGGACAATTTTCTCTTTAAACAGAGAGTTAAATGAGAAAAGACTTTGAAGAAGGATGATAAAACAAAATTTGGTATTTTTTAATATATAAACACAAAACAGGATACAGAAAATAACCTTAAACGTCTTTTTAGACTATTAGTCATTAATGTCATTGAATTCATAAGTCATTCCTCTCATTTATCAAGACCAGCACAAAATATTTTTCAATGAATTACTTTTTAGTCAACGTCAGGAAGTTTTTCTGTTCTTTTCCTTCATAATTTATAAATGTAAGCTTACGAAACTGAACTTATAGGATTATGGGGTGAACCCATTTGTGTAAGCACTTGGTCCAGCCACTGTAACGGACCATGCAGATGTATTTCAATCCAGCAAGGCGTTGAAGTAACATCTTGTCGGTGATATTCGGCCCCCCAACCTTTGACAAAACTCATGCGAATTGTGCACATCTTTGTTAGTTCATAAACAGCCTCAAAGCCACTATGGACCGATTGAGACAATAATTGAGCAAATTCTTGATTATTAAAAATCCTTAAAGAGCATCCTGGTGGTATTTTGCACACCGTACTGGGATGGAAGCCGTGATGGTAATTGCAATTGCGAGATTGCACAAAAATAGCCGAATCCGAGAGACATTCAGCATACACCTCACCTCTTACATAACAAAGACGAACGCCTTTACCTTAAAAAAGAAATGTTTCCAAAAAACGTTAGTCATTTATTCATTCACCGCATACCACGTTACAACGCGCTTGATTACCTATGTGGCGACGGGTGTTTTCTATGGTGCTATTGCGATTTACATTACTCAATTGACCCAAACAGCAACGATCCGAATTATTCGAGGGATTGGTGAAACCGTCCACTACCACTTCTTTATTGTTACAATGGAATACTTCACCAACGCGGCAGTTCAATTCATAGTAAGCTATAGAAGCCCAAAATTCCGGCTCCTTATATCTTACCTCGCTCATAGGAGCATCAAGCATTTGAGAACCGTCGTTAGGATTATTAGAGTTACCATCCTCTGAAGGACTATAAGCAGGTGGAGGGGTTTCTGCCAAGCTACTATAGGGCGAATTAGGATTAGAATTCACTGAATTGGGGCTGCCAACTGGAGCCATAGGCGGACTATTGGGACTAAAATGAGCATTGAAGCCAGCTGTTGAGTAACTGACATTGTGTGGCATAGTGGAATCGGTCATTGGATTGAACTGTAGCATTGGATGGCCGGGTGCATATTCTGAGTGGCGCGGAACCAAGACTGGCGGCAAGACAGGACTTTCCACTCGTTTGTAGTGATACGGATTTATGCACACTTCCTTCTGCTTAGCACTGAAGGGATATTGACACACCTCAAGTGGTTTGAGTTCATGATGCGACTGTAAATCTGGCCAACGCCAAACGCGACAATAGATGACATGTGGCAGGCCCTTGCGATGTGAAACCTAAATGATGCGAGATTATATTAAACATAAATTTCTATTTATTAGTAGCAGAATTTACCTGTAGACGTCCATCCAAAGATCGCGGAATTGTCACACATTTAGACGATTGCCCGGGACACGATAATGCTTTTTCCAATTCTTCTATGGCGCCTTGACGTTTCTTAAGTTTCTTCACTAAGCTGTCGACGGCTTTTTCAGCCCACTTTTCTTCTTCGTCTCCCTGCTTCCATCCCAAAAGTTTTTTAACGGCAGGCGAAGTGAATGTGAAAAGAGCACCAATTTTGGACATTGCACTGCTCGATGTAGATTCCACATCATCCGTATCCATTCTATTACTGAAACTGGGATTTAGTCGAAAAGCTGGATAACTGCTTGATGCCGAGTAATCTAAAAAAAAAAAAAAAAGAAGAGAAAAACATTCATTTCACAAAAATACATTTATAACAAATTCTACTTAGAATAAAGATCAGATTTAAAAATGACTGCATTTATAGTTAAAAATCCACCCGCCCACAAAAATACACATAAATTAATTGAAGCTTATTGATTGGTTAGCTGACTAGAAATTAAAAGATAATCAACGACAAGTTTTATTTCTTTTTTTTTTTTTTTTTTTTTGCGTAGCAAGTAAATATGCGTAAAGCTCCACCTCTGCAGGCTCAAAACGTAGACGGTTAGAAATGCAAATGCAATAAGATTTCGTACATGATCACTAGTGCGAGCGAATACATAACTTTATAGGCGAAATGGAATTAATAAAAAAGCACGATTGACGGAATAACCTTCTTGTGGAGGTTCTTAAAGGTCTAAAAAAGATGACAAAAATGATTGTTTGTACACTTGATCAAGAGAATTGGCAATCCCTATCGCGGTACATGAAGTCTAGATGAAGAACTTAGAGTGGTTGGCATGTTTATGTGTTTTTCAAATTAAGCGCTGGTTCATTTGATCTGTTTGCAAACTTTTGATGGATTTGGAAATGCGACCCAATATTTGTTACAAGTGTTGAAAGTTATTACTTATGACAGATTCAAAATCGTTCAATAGATGACAAAGTTTCGATGTTGTAGATTTTTAAGAAATATCTTACGACTTAAAGATCAGCTCGCATGCAAAAGAACTAAGCTATGAGCTTTACTATGAGTTAAAAATTGCTTATTAATTCTAAGTGGGTTGTTTCACGTCATCCTTCATCAGAAAGCGTAGAGATATTTCAACACGTTAAGGCCATTGGCTCATTTTCAATGTCATAGATTCCTCAAATCAATTCTCGAATAACATTTCTTGTTCTCAAAACTTATACGACTAAAGACTGCCATATTATTCGATTGTTTTCAGATTAATTTTGTTGCGATAACACAAATTATTCCATATTTATGTAACAAAAACCTGTAAAATTCTAAATTGGTATGAAAGGGTCCAACTTTAATACACAAGACTTCATATTAGGAAACAAACAAATAAATTATAGTAAACCACGGCCCATCATTAAACACCTTATGCCACTTCGCTTCATATAGTTATTCATATAACGACCTTTTTAAAATAAAACGTCTTCGATTCGAACCATTTTCAATAGCGTTCATCTTTGGGCTAAAGCACGTTGCTGCACCAAATTTCATCAAAATATCTCTAAAATTGCGTCTTGTAGGTTGAACACAAGTCGGACAGACTGACAGACAAGTTCGGATGGACTTAGAAAAGTATTTCAAATTGATCGGTATAATAAAAGTTGAATCAATATTTGAGGTCCTTCTGAGTGTTGCATGCATCCCCACAAACTTAATACATCTTTGCACCACAAATGGTGTAAAGTATAGTGATATACCATGATTTTAAGTATATATATAAATATATTCTCGTTTGATAATAATAATAATAATATATAGGAGCTAAGATTTATGTAAACCCAACTTAGCAAAATGCTTTACCGAACAATATGTAATGTAAGAGGCTTTAAACTCGCCGACTGCCATCAGAAAAAATCGAAACTAACGAAAGTAAAGAAACTTCTGGCAGAAAAGGCAAACAATGTTTTGTACCCAGGAATATGCTTATCACAGATATGACACTGACAAACGGACAGAAAGACGGACATGTTTAAATCGATTCAGAATTTGATGCTGATTAAGAACAAATGTACTTTATCTGGGATCTCTGAAGCTTTGCAAACGTTTATACACTAAATATAAACTTTGATAACAAACACACAGAAGGCACTATATAAAACAAAAAACAAAAAAAAGAAAGCCAACTAAGCGTATAAATGCAATGAACAAAATTTAGGAAAATGTTAAAAATGTATCTGCAATGAGGTCAATTTTCCTCAAGCTAATTAAACTTGTTGATATTTTCAATTAACTCACCTTAAAACTAAGAGATTCCTCTTTTGTAAAAAAACAAAAAGAAGAAGACATTATCACAACCCGCAACACAGTTGCTGCATGTTACGTTACATACATAAAAGATGGCAGAAAAATATTTAGTTAAAAGTGTGAAATAACTTGAAAATATCTATCTATTGAATCTAAAAGGTTGCTATTTATTTTGTGTCACTAGGGAGAAGACCTTTACGTGGACAATCGATACTTAATCTGATAGGAGCACGAGATTTCGTTTCTGAATTTCTTTTAATTCCAGTATCGAGGATCTGCATAAGTCGTTGTGATTAACGCAGTTGCAACCTTATTCTAGCGTTGCCAACTGTCAATTGTCATAAAATTAGTGATCGTCTTTGCTTGTCAAGGTATCTTTTATATTTTTTTATAGTTATTATAAATATAGTTATAATTTTATATAGTAAAAATTCTACACAGTAGGAATTTGCTACCACAGTAGACAAAACCCGATTTTGAGTACAGAGCCCTTTATAGTACGTTTGATATTTTAGTACTAAATAGACTTTTGCTAGTTCTACTAGTATGGTAGCAGAAAGTGTGCTATTCTTGATCATTTTGAAGCGAAATTTTCTGCTACTTCTACAATACGAAACTTGATATCTAATTCGCCTTATTTTGTTAGTAAACTTCTTTATTCGAAGACAGGCATTCATGTAACAACTTTTTAAAATAAGGCATTATTTGGAGGAAAGTGTTCGAGAAAAAGATTCAATCCGATCAATTTTCAACACCTTTCGTCCTTACGCCAAAACACGTTAATGTGTCAAACTTCATTGCAATAACCTTCAAAAATACAAACTATAAGTTGAATGCAAAGCAACAGGATGGACAAATGGATAAACAAGCTTCTACGGTTATAAGAAAAGATGAATCTTTCTTCAGCCCTTCTATGTTGCATACATCTGCATTAAAAATTAATACACATTTGTACACTAAGTGTTGTAGGGTATAAAACTAAGCTAAGCTAAGGTGATACACCGCATAAAATCAGACGGGCTTAGGCTAAGAAGGAAGAGACCTATTGCGATGCGAATATCGGCACTTTATACAGGAGGAACAGGAACAAACTCAGAAGAGATCACATCTCCAAATCCGATTCTATTCCATGCTTATTCAGTTGTTCCATCTCACTCTTTTAAAATATTGAGAAATTCACCAAGAACCAAAGTAAGGCAAAAACATAAAAATTCCAAAATGATTTGTTCTAATCTCCGGGAGAGTTCGTTGTAGGGCAGATCTAGCGTAGTGACGTCATTACTGCAAACAATGATTTCTAATAATCACTTAACTCGCTGGCATAGTCAAACACAATTACATTTTTAAGCTACATATGTAAGGTTTCGATTTTTTAGTTTATTCAATACACTTATCCATCGTAACGATTTACTGAAATTATTTTTTATAAATGTTAATTATAATATTGCTAATGATTATATTAGAATTTTATATAAAATCAATTCAAAATAATTTTCATTATTGTGTTAAGCAATTTGAAAAAAAAAAAAAAAAAATGTTTCTCTTCAAATAACTTCACTTGTCATATATGGAACTAATAATGAGCGTTCTATTCCATTAGCCTGATTAAAAAGAAAATGTGTAGGGGTAAGACATTGTGGGCTGACGTGGAATGCAAAAATTGTAATGCCGTGTGCTATTTGAAAGAGAAATCTTTCGCAAAAATACATTCGATAACTGGTTAACATTGAAATGTCAAATAATTTTGTTATGCATTATTTGACAAGCACTGTAAAGTTTAATACAATTCTTGAAAGGAAGTTGTTGTGGATTTTCTCTTAAGCATAACAGCGATAAGTACAGAATATGCTATCTAAGTTTAAGATCGGTCACTCGACTGGTCGTAATTTGTTTATCAATCTCTATAAAATGTTTGCGGTGAACGTTTATTGATAAGGTATAGAATGTTATTGGCAGGCGCCTCACTTTTTACAAAGGGGTTCCCTTTGTCATCTGACTTTTATGCACATCTTTCCATAATTTCTAGATCTTGTTGTCATTGGAACTGAAGAATAGTATTCAAAAATTTCTAAAACAATCTGCTTACAGACAGGCTTGAGTCTATCATCTAGATAATTGCTCCTTTCCAGCTTTAACGTTGCATTGTATGTTGTACGAATAAATTTTAAGAGTTTAAAGCTTTATTCAGGGAACCGGGTAAAATGTTTCTTATTCAAACTACCGTTAGCCACAACTATTCTCCAACTTTTGGGCAATTTTCAAATTCATACCCGAGAGAAGTATAGTCCTTTAAGCTTATTCCTAAAAGATCCCGAATTTGAGTATCGCTGAAAGAAGCGAAGCACGGTTCGAACAAACAATAAGTCCTCTATTGAAACCTTTGTCTATTGGAAGAAGTGATGTTCCCTGATAACAGAGACGAGGATACGACGTTCCAAATTAAAACTGCCCTACATGGAACCAAAATTCTTTGTACTGAAGACTTATTGTATTATGACTTTCGCGATAGTACGCTCATTCTTTGGCGGATTACTGGACGTGGTACTTCTTAGGCACGCTTCCATTCGCTTGGAACAAGCTTTTTGTACACCATGCAAAGCTCATCCCAATCAAAGGAGGCTATCAAGGATATTCAACCTTGTCGTCGAGCTTATTAATTTCTATACTCTCTTCCATGGTTATTTAGGTTTTGGATATTATAGTCTATCCATTGTTCATCATTCGCGCTGTGCTTTGGATTAATCAGGAGGAGCAAAGTTCGCGGATATTTCATTTGTGTTGTGTATAGTACGTTCAAGAGGTCAGAATCCTATTCCACACCCTACACCACCATTTACAACCTCTCTTACCGAACCGGACCGAAATAATAGCTTGTTCTGCTGCCAAATTTTTGCTGCGAAAGCATTACTTAAGGGTTTCGCTTCGCAGATCAGCAATTACTTATCTGAAGTTATATATATATATATATATATATATATATATTTATTTCTTTTTTTTGCCAGTCACTCAAGGTATTTTTTCCTAAATTCGTAACAAGGCGATGATCAGGAAAAAGTATTGGAGGAAAGCGCGAAAAGTCCCATAGGCGCCTGAGTATTTTTAGAAATTCTGTAATTGTAATATTAAGGTATCAGTGGAGGGGTGCATCCCACTCGATTTTAAATATATTATTCGCAATCGATTAATTGAACGTATTATGCCAAACTACATTATATATTAAATATCGAAAAAACATCTCTCATCATCCCCTGTGCCGATAATTGTTGAAAATCTCTTGTTGTTTATCGCTGGGTTTTACAAACGGAGTGAAAAACATAATATATATTCACTTTGAACAACGCCACAAAGCATTTGATATTCAGTCACTTTCTTAATCGATGTTACTTTCGTAAATATGTATATAGTTGTTGTTGGTTGTTGATGTTATTTGTTTACTTTTATAATTATTATGCTTTTTTTTAAGCATACGCGCGCACACGTTCACTTTGTTGATTATTAATATTCAGGTACGGATGCGCACATTATTAAATTAATCAATCATAAACACGAATACAATGACTCTTTAGTGATAAAGAAAACAAAAACATTAACAATAAATTTATATAAACACTTCCGCTCATAATGCAAGTCGAAGAAGTCTTTCAAAATCTGCCACTGATGGTAGCATGAAACGAAAGTAAAAAAGAAAAAAAAAAAAGAGCCAAGAGACGCAATGTGTTTCTTAAAAAGAAAGACAAATCAAATAAATAATTAAATAAATACTTTTTCCAATGCACGTACACATATTGAACCCAGAGAATTATTGCAATTTTGTAATTCCACAAATATATTAACACTGCAGTGAAGACCCTCCGCGCAGAGGACAAAGTTCACATTTGCCAACCGGCCGCTGACTTCAATGGTTCTGCGATGATTAAAATTAGTTCTTTTCATGCTTTGCATACGAAATCCGCTTAACGATCGAGCGCCCAATCGATCGTTCGATGTTCAATTTAATTTTTGGCACATTATTTATAACGTTACGTTTAACAAATCTATTAAAAGATGTTGCAGGTAATCGGAAATGACATTTGCCGTAGTGGCGCTATGCTAATGATAAATATCAAAGTAATAAAACGAGGAGAGAAATTAAAATAAAAAGAAAAAAACAAAAACAAAAACCCAAAAACAAAAATCAACATAAATAAAAGAGAAGAAAAAAAAAACACGCCGCGAACTACTGTAAGACACTAAGGAAGTTGTTGCAAACGATTAACAGACCGATTAACGACTGACTATGTGACTGACTGAATGCGTGCCCCTTTGGGTAGGAAACGAAAAAACGAACGAATCAACGAACCAACGAATACATAGTAAATACAATGAAATAAAATAAATGCGCGATTGAATGATTGACTGACTGACTGCTGCACTGAACAAGTTACTGAATGAGTAAATGATTGGATGGTGGGGCAAATCGCTTGCCGAGCTAATAATGAGTGACATGTCTAGTCTCTAGAATTACAATTCAACTAATGTTCTACTCAATTCTAATCTACACCTCATATGAACACATATATACATATATGTATACAATTATGTTCAAAATAATAGCGGAATAACAATAATAAGAAGACTGACTGCTTATGTCATTCTTTCTTCGTTTATCATGCAAGTTATTCTCTCTTCCACATGATTCGTTGTCCACCTATCACGCTTATTATATTAATAATCGCGACGCCACATTACGTAAATATTACATAAGAATAGGGGAGGTAAAGACATCAAAGGTACACATAATCTTCACCAGCGTAAGATGTCAAGATGTTTAGTGAAGCTTGGCCCATTTAATTTTAGTTGGAGATCACCAATCAAGTTTCAGAAGCAGAAAATATACCACGCAGTGCTGTGCCATTGGACAGACACTTTAGCAGTAAGCTTCTATTATCTTGTTGAAAGACAATAAAGCAAGCAAGTCCACAACAGATAAACATTAGTTGTCGGACTCCCCGCCAAGCTACTTATGAGTAAGTACTTTTCTAAAGTTACATGTACTGTTTTCGGTACACGCTAGAAAAATACTCTCATAAAATTCTTTTTTATGTTTATGAGAGAAAATATACATTTTTCGTCGGCGTATGTACCATTATCGGTACATGTATCATACATTGCAAAGTACAGCAAAACGTCATTTCGTAGCATAAAATAACGCTAACAACAATTGCTTTTTAGATTGTGTTATAAAAAAGTTTAAGTTGCGCATAAATTCTGGTAAAAGAAAATTTTCACCCATTGCTATTATTGCGAACATAATTGTACCAGTGCCTTATGATAAGGATGCATTTGTAGCTTGGCAAAGTATTATTACCAGCAACATTGTATGTGTGTTGTTTTGCTTTGCCAGCCACATAAAGCAACATAAACAATGTTATTGTTTTATTATTCGATTAATGCGAGTATATACTCGCATATATAACTATACAGAAAACTTTCAATAAGGATCTGAAAATATGCTAAGAGTGACAGCACGCAAATGTTTATGATTATTGTTTATCCCAATCAAGCGTTTGTTTGATACAATAGCAAACTATCAAATAACTACAGAGCGAATAGCAAAATCAAAACAAGTCGGCAAATATTTGACGGAAGCAATTCAAATAGTTGCAGATTGCAACTTTGAAGACTTGAAAAATGGCAGAAAAATTTGTAATTAAGCAAAACACGTCAAGCAATCCGGGAAATTTTCAAGTTACCCAACAAAACTTTAAAGTTTTAAACGTTCACAAGCGCTAACACCAAAGTAACAACAAGTAACACCAAACACTACAGATTTTCTAGAAAATCAAATTTGGTTTTATTAGCTCAAACCAATCCCTTACACACAATCAAGAATGCCATGAAAAGATATAGAATTTTAAACTGTCAAAAAATTTTATTTTTCAAACATAATTGCGTAGTGTACCGTAAAAGGGGACCTGGAAATGTCGAATGCATTTTTCTCGAAATATGAATTTTTAAAAGGGCCCAGGGACGAATTATTACAATATTTTTTTTTTTCTGTCAGAACTTTTTATAGTACATTGAAAACAGCATTCTGCTGAGCAGTACATAGGATATTTTCGATATTTTATTTCAAAGCTTTTTTATTAATAACCTCATCCTGTCGTCACCAAGCATAAAAAGTGAATTTATTTTCGGAATCTTTAGCGTGAATATTTGTGATTGGACCAAGGTATACCGCACGGATTGACTGCGAGATAAAATCTTTCTGGCAAGAAGACGACGATCAGTGTTTAGTGGTAGACACCAAAGGCGTTGATCTATAAGGCATCATACGCTAGCTGAGGAGGATGTGAGAAAAATGACTCCATCGATGATTCGTGGTTGTAGACGAAAATTTTTAAAGACCTACTTTACTTTGCTTCAAAGATGAAGAAAATATAATAAATAACTAACGATGGAATATATTTTGCTTAAAGCATCTTTTGTCAAACTTTGAACTTCTCTCTCGATATTAGTAAACTTATGTAAAATGAACAAAAAAATGCAAACATAACAGAAATATTAGCAACAAAGGTACAAATTCAAGTTCATACAGCTGGAAGGAACTCTTACTAATATTAAAATGAACTCAATATCTCTCAATGGTAAGCGATATAAAACAGTCGTCATATATGGCTCATAGAATCTTTTCCATCTGTTCCAAACTTAAACATGCAGTCAAAGAATACCATGCTTTCAATGAATAAAAACATAAAGAGACACAATTGCCCATCAACCTCCTGATGATACTCAAAAAGGACCTTCAGTTATGCTTCGTAAACTGGAAAAAGTTCTTGCAAAATTATACAAAATAAAAGAGAGTTTGGTTGCCTTCAAAGGAGTGATGCGAACAATGGCAATTGTTAAGTTATCTTCCGATCAAATAACGTACGTCAAAAACAGTAGTCTACGTTGGGATGTGATCTCAACATTCAACGAAAGTTCTGTCCGTTCGCGTTACGACAAGCATCCGCATATTCGTTGGACGCATACTTGACTGTCTCTTTTTATCGCTGAATGTATATACACACATACTGCCTTAGCGAATGAACCAAAACGAAGGTAAAGTTCATCTATTCCGCGATATTTTGGGCGAACTCGAACAAGAAAGAAATGCTGCAAAAGCGTGTAGAAATTGATTGGATGTGTTCGGTGAAGTTATAAGTCCTGGTAGAACATACAGGAGATCGTTCGAAAAATTTCAAATAGACGATTTCGAACTTTTTCCAGCTAAGCCACACTTTGCGCGACTTTCTTCGATCGAAGACAGTACTGTCACGTTCATTCATCCTTTTTTGCCAACATTGGAGATAGCGGAAAAGCTTGAGTCGGCTCGATAAAACATTTTGGATCATATTCGGAAATTACTTTCGGACCGAACTTTTCGGTAAGCGTATTATAAGCGACAATTTACAACACAATTACAGCACAAAAAAGAACGGAATTTCTCAATTCTCCAGCGTACTGACTCCATAGTGCACATACCTCTAGTCTATGTAAGGGCAAAAAAATAGTCATTAGTTTTATTCAAAACCATCTGTCTAATTGGACTGTGTCATTTTAAAACGATTTTACATTAATGGTAATTTCAGCGATTTCGAACTTTATGGGTGATTACAGCTGAAAGCATGGGAAACCTCAGGTTTTTGTCATATAAAATAATACCGAAATTTATTAAGATAAAATCTTAATTTCGATGAATTTAGGTTAAAATCGATTGGATTCCTGTGATTTTCCTCTCATTAAAATTTACTTTATATATATTTTTAGATAGACAAAGTATTGCCAACATTCATGTAAAACTTTAACTAACACAACCAGACTTAAAGAAAGGTGTTTGTGACAATTTCTCTTGGATGGAAAGAAGGATAGTAGAATAATGATATTTGAGGAGAGTGTTAAGAATGCCTTTATATACTAGAAAGAAAAATTATTTTGTAAAAATCTTTAAAAATGGGAAGGACGAGAAATTCCCTTAGGGCATCTGTAATGCAATGAATGAGCTCTGCGACATTTGAAAGCACTTCATACCTGCATTTAGAGAGTCACATATGGGTTCTTAGAAATATTGAATTGGGGGGATGTTTAAATGAAAATGTTCACTTTTTCGATCAAAAAATAGACTTTTTTCCATTAACAAGAAATCTTTGCATTAACTGATCGAAGAAATCCTACTACATGATTCTCTAGAAAATGTCATTATAACGATACTGCAAAAACTTCATGTTCAAGGTTTTGACATGCACTATAAAGATGGTTTCTTATCACAATAAATTTTTTTTATTTACTTTCATTCGTCTACAGTTCGAACAGATTAACAATGCCGTGTCATTCAAAAATTCGTTTTAACTTTCTTTCCTTGACAATATCTCCTTTGCTGCATCTACTAGAGACGGAATCGCACGTTTCACAATTTTAGGTATTGCAAAATGATTGGAACTGTGAGTAGACAACATATAAATCTAAAGCCGAATTCATAACAAACTTCAAGAACTTCTTGCCAAGCTTTTAATTTTTTTGTAGATGCAACTAAAGCTTCGTTATGCTCTCAAAGATCTCCTTTTTGGAAAAGGTTTTAAACGCATATAAAAAAAGTTTCCAAAGACATTCATCAATTTACTAAAGAAGTCAGAAATCAACAGGCAAGACATTAGACTGCATCTTCCAGGCATACATTTATTTAACACTGGCTTCCATATGCTAGCGGGTGTTGTGCTTTTTCCCATTCTATCCTGAAAAAAAAATTTTTTTTTGAAAAATTTTTAGTGGTGTCAACCCTTAAGCGCTTGTGTTTTTAAGGGAAACGATATGAAGAGAAACCACTGAGCAATCGTACCCAGTGTAAGCGTCCGTGTAAACATTTTTCGGATGAAATACAGCAGAACGACCTTTCTTCTTACTTAGTACACGTTATAAATTGAATTCACTTTGTACAAATTCTAAAATGTGAAACAAAAAAAAGAAATCGAAAAAATCCCCACTAAATGCACGAATATCCTGCTAAAAGCTGTTGAATTGTGTGAAGCATGTCACATGAAAAACATGAAACGTTAAGCAAAAGCAAAATCACGAAAAGAATTTTCCTTTAATCAAAACTTAAAGGAACAATAAATTGATTGCAACACAAATGGCAAACAAAAACAATAACAATAA